TATACAAGGTGAATACCAGAATTACGTACTGTTTAGCCATAACTTCTAAACCAGTCAGTCTGAAGAAAACTTTCGATGTCACTTTTCAACATAATCCCTGTCTTTAGACACACTTGGCATCTGTTTAACCACTTGTTAAAACACTGTGCGAACTCGTTTTCTATAGTCCTTCGGAACCACTGGAAAACTGAACTATCAAAAGCAGATCTTGACGAATAGTGCGTAGCATGGAGTGAATCCTTCAGTTTGCAAAAAGCCAAACGTCGCTCAGGGCCAGATCTAGCGAGTACGGATGGTGCGGAAAGATTTCGATGACCTTTTCTATCAGAAAATTTCGGACAACTTAAGCTCTGTGCGGCGGAGCATTGTCCCAGCGCATAGCAAAATATTTGCCGGCAAAATTGAGGGGCCGTTCACGAATCGCAGGCATCAAATGTTTGTCCAGCATGTGTTTTACATACTGACCGGTAATCGTATCACAGTTTTCAGGAGAAGTAACGACTAGAGTATGGCTCATTATTGGTGGAGTTTCTTTCACCTGAATATTCTCGAACTAACTCGAACTCATATGCCTTTAAACCCAATCGGAAATTGAAATGTGGTGACTGACATATGCGACACCTCATCCATTCGAAAATCCACGGAGCTACAGTAGCAACTCTTACGCATCACAGAATTCCTTATAGAACCGCCGAGATTTCACCAGATAAATAACATTAATTTAATGCCGAACTCCAGGTTTTTGTAACAGTTGAGGTTTCTCTGACCTCCAGTACCAGAGAAAAATTAGTCATAGTCTGCACTTGATTGTGATCTCTCAAAGTAGCAAACTAAATTGATAGACGTATGACCGACAAATTACTTAATAATTTTATCCACATACAATCATATTATATATGCATCGGTAGACTTAAGTAAGTTAGAAGAGCTAATTTATTGTATTTCTCATTTTCATCGGCAATATATTATGGCTGCAAAAGATTCTCCTTCCTAGAGCTATTTGATTTGAATAATCACGATGTTTCATGGATATTTCAGTCGATATCATTATCATATTTTTCATTATGCATCGTAAATAATTGTGCTGATGTTTTCGTGATGTTTTCGATCCCAGACGGACTAATAAAAATTGGCTTGGAGAAAATTTTGAAACAAAAGTGTAAAGTCCCTTTAGTATGATTTCACAATGACTGTTGACAGTTGTTTCATTTAAATCCACATTTTTAAAACTAACATTTATCAGTATAAGAAAAATAGTTGAAAGTAATCATTTATAAACTGGAAAGCTATCTCGTGGATCTCGAAATTGAAAAACTGTGCTGTAGGCAAATTTCTTATCGACATCTCGTGAGAAACTAGACCATAGTTTTTCAATTCCATTCTCTTTAATTTATAGGTCTTGATAAAATGACGTTACATCATATGGCTCCTTCTATTTGGGCTACAATTTGAAAAAAATTGTAGACCTATAATTTCCCACTGTCGTCCGTTTGCCTGTCAGTCTGTCTTTCCTTAATCTTGAGAACGGAATTAGATAAATCAAATCTGAGACCAGATATGGAAACCTTAGGGGCAGGAGGCCCCGATTAACTATATATATGAATTTCTAATGAAAACCTGAAGTCGTGTTATTTCAATTAAAAAATTTTCCCGGTGTTAGATAGAAGACCGACACGACTCAATTGTTAAACGAAAAGTATGATGTACAGGGGCAAGCCACTACTAATTTGATGTGGATAGTTTATATTTTAAATTAAGTAAATTAAATATATGAATAAAAATCGTAGTCCGGAATTGTGACGATGTCACAATAAATAATTGCTCGTTCATTTTCATTTTTCACTGCCGAACAGTATTTCAAAACTTTAACATTATTTTCAGTAAATGAAATTACTGATATTATCTTTAATACTTTTCATGTTATTTAATTTAATTAAGAGGACTATTCTTAAATTCAGTTAGAATCGTCTTAATACAGCTACTATAGTTATGACAATGATTTTTAGAAGTTTTTTAGAAGATAGTAGTTCAAGTGAAATTATGCATAATGAGTCGAAAATATAAAGTGTATCGTTCGTAACAGAACTGTTCGTACTAAACATAATAAACAAAATAATAGTAAAGTTAAAAAAAACAAAAATAAACTTAAACTCGTTACAAACATATCAAACAGAAAAGTAAACTTTTCTGTTCGCTTTTTTTGTCGCCATCGAACTTTTGTGTAGCCAGCTATCAGCTTTTCTCTAGTTTAATGAATAACAAAATGAATAAATAAGCAGTGAGTATGAGGGTTTATTATAATCAAGTTTAATTATAATGCAATTATAACATACAGGCCTATATACAGGTTCTGTTTGGGAAAAAAAAGAATATACATTAACATATAGATATATTGTGTATATATAGGGTTTTTCATAAGTCACGCGCCATAGGAGATTGTGCATGAAGCATGAGGTGCTTGTAGGCAAAGCATAAGGGACAAGTGTATATGTCTGGGGTGGCCAAGCTTTTTGATAGTTCGAGCCATTTTTCAAAATTTGAAATTTTTCGCGAGCCGCAATTAAATACGTATTAAAAAGTTATGCAAAAAATTCCATTTACAAATTATATCCGTAGCAAGAGTGATACAAATTGTTTCCTTTAGAGCACAATGTCAACTGTCCATTGCAATGACAGTTTACAAATTCAAATTTGGTCTGGAGTTGGTCGATAACGGACGATTACGCCACTGTTTATGTTCGTTCGCGCAGTTTTCGATGAGTCATATCATTCTTAACTTGGACGGAAATGAAATTTATTACAACGTTGTTGTTAGTAATTTAAAAGACATTTTGAAACACAAACGAAAATATAACAACACGAAAATGAAAAGGGAACTCGTGTACATTTATCGAGAGCCACAAATAATCCTTCAAAGAGCCGCATGTGGCTCGCGAGCCGCAGGTTGGCCACCCCTGGTATATGTACTGGTTGTATATAATACAAGTGTATATGATGCAACATTTTGGGTCTACAATAATGTCAAATGAAAATTAATTGCAAAAAATTCATGTGTGGTCGATTACTTTCAACTACTGCCTAGATGTATAGTTCAGTAATTCGACTTCAGGAAACGAAGTGTTCGGAATTTCTTTTCTTTTAATCCCTGTTCATCATATACTTTCAATTTATTGATTATATTCCAGAAATCGATATTTATTGATATAAGTTATTATATGCAATTACAGTATTGTATTATATGGGTCCGGACATGACATATCAGTACCCTTTAGCTCACCAAGGACTCTATGAGAGTTAATCTTTCTTGCAATTTGGATCATTAGTATTTCCTGTCATATCCTTCAATTGTTTTTAGTCGCCAGTCTGTCTGTTCTGGTTTTTTGAGTTTTATTAAGAGAAGTATTTATCCATAAAATTTTCGAAATTTTAAAAGTGAATGCTAGATGTATTTTTACAAAATAAACTTATTTATGTGAACAGTGGCTCCTAAAATTATATGGCGTGAAATGTTTTATAATTTACTCAAATTACTATATTTATAATTTTAAAGCTTTAAATCTTACAAATTAAATACGTAATAAATTACATTATGTGATTTTTATTAAAAAATAAATTATGAAAATAATTGTGACAAATACGTTTATTGGAAACTGCAAATACATTCGTTTCAAAATAAATTTTTTAGTTAAATATAAGCAGTAAAATTGAATATAAATATTCACATAAAAAAGATTATGTAGCTGGCCGTAATATAAATATTTTTGTATATTTACAAAATGCATTAAAATTTAAAAAAACAATAAAAATTTAAAGTACAAACAATCATATATAAACCTGTGTATGATTGTTTAAATTTCATAACATGTTCTTAAGAATTATGTGGTTATGTTTTGAAACAATTTTGATTCCATAATTAGTTAAATTATGTTTCTGTTTTAAATGTAGGATAAACCTACTTACAGCTTTAAAAGTATGCAATGTAAAAATTTGTAAAAATTAAAATATCATTAAAATGATAAAATATAATCAAATAGTTATATTTATTATTTCTATCATTAAAATGCATTTGGATTGTATTCCTCTTTTTATCAACGAATTCAATCATTATAGTTCAGTAACAATTCAGTAAATCGATTTTATACAACAATATTAAATAAATCGATATGTTTANATTTTAACATTTTGAGGGCGTCCAGGAACCTCTAAAAATATAATTAATAAATAAAAATTTCAAATAATAATTTTAAAAAAGTCAAATAACTAACCTAATATAGACAATTTGACTTTTCTTTCATCAGATCCATATGTGTTTTCGGCAATACATATATATAGAGAGCCATCATCTCGTTTTGTTTCTCGAATAACTAATTCAGATTGAAGACCCTCCGATGTAAGAGTCTCGAAGTCTTCATATCATTCCTCTTTTTATCAACGAATTCAATCATTATAGTTCAGTAACAATTCAGTAAATCGATTTTATACAACAATATTAAATAAATCGATATGTTTAATGAGGAAGTCCAATTTGTGTTTTAAGTATTGTATTAAATTTTTAGTTTGATTGTAATAAAACGAAGAAACGCTAATTCTGAATAGAATATTAAAAAAGATCCAAATAACATGATTATTTTGTATATATTTCCAATAAGAATATTGTTCTAATTTTTAGAAGTTCCATTTGATTTCAAATTGAAAAACATGGTAGATATTTCTTTTCTATTTCAGTTTAAAAATCGATGTACATGCATAACAACATTAATTACTCACCCGCATGAATTATGCAATTCAAGCGATAGCATTAAACATGACATTTTCCACCAAAAACTCTTATATTTATCAGAATGCATATCATAAAATATGAAAAATGAGTATCCAAAATCTTTTTTGTTTTCATGATAACATGCGACAACACCAGACACTATTTTTTCTATTGTCTCTTTTAGCTCGATTATGCTAAACATCAAATCTTATTGAGGACTATCATATAAATGAAGATCAACTTTCTTCTTTAGAGAACTAGGTCTAGGAGGTGGTATTGGTCGTTCGATGTGATTCTGAATTAAAATAATACTTATATTAAAACTTAGATAAATTATCTTTTAATAAAGTGTAAAAATGAAATATGCTAAAAGTTATCATTTAGTATTAATGCTACACGAACTTACTTGCTGTACAAATGTTTTCATTTCATGATCCATACCACTTTTGGCAAAATCTCCTTCTGGATCATCTCTCATGGGAATAGTGGCATAAGGTGCTGGATAAAGTGAAGACATGGAACATTCGTTATTTACAAGAGGACGATTTTTTTCTACATCAACGTATCTTTGTATCGTACCTCCATAGTTAGATTGTTTATCTTCCATTAAGCCTAAAAGTGGGATTTTATTTACAGAACAATTATAAATTTTGCAATTAAAACGAAAAACAATCCCATTATTTGACGAATCTCGATTACCTCGTTTTCTTCTTTCGTTTTTGAGCTTTCTAACGCAGACACACGCTACTATAATTGCTACAAATATGGAAGTTAGACAAGCCGCTATTGGAATAAGTACTGATATCTGGAAATATGGAGGATTCCATACAGTCTTATCGATGACAGAAGATAATTTATAGCCTTCTGTTAATTAATATTAAATTTTTCTGTTAATTTATTTATATTTAATCTATTTATTAACTGTTTTTAAAACAATGAAATTTATTTACCAACAAAATCTGTTCTAACTCTGAGAGTATCACTAGGATCACTTTTTCCTGCTTGATTTGCAGCAGTTAAATATAATTCATAAAACGTTCCACTATCTAAATTGCTCAGTGTATATTGTTTCTCATTAGCTGGTATTAAAGATGTCTCTTTCCAAGAATTAAATCCTCTTCTATAATGCAATATGAATCCTATAAATAATCAGAGTTTCTTCATTTCAGATATCCATAATTAATTTTTATATTGAATAGTTTAATTTTATTATTTTAAATGAATATAAATTTAACAAACTTTACCTGTTAATGGTGTTTTAGAATGTTTTGCTAGCCAATTAACACTGATAGAACTCACAGTGACTGACATTAGAGAGAGAAAGGGAGAATGTGGAACATCTGTAGTAATTAAATAAAATTTAGTACTGTTTCATTATAATTATAATGAATTGCATATTATAAAAAATTATAATGCAAAAAACTGACCTGCATCAGTTGTTCTTTCTATCATTTCATGACAAGGTGGTCCACTACCTGCAGAATTATAAGCTTGTACGACAATACAGTATTCAGTGCCTTTCATCAGTTTGGTGAGAAGATATTCTTGAGTTCTTTCTCCTCCATACTCAACAAATTTAAAGTTATATGACTGTGCTATAGGCGCTGCTCTAATTTTATAACCTATATAATATCCCTTTAACTGACCATTCCAACTGTCCAAAGGTGGAGGCTTTAAAAATTATTTATAAGAGAAACAATTTATAATTTACAACATTTTTGACATTAATTCTTCAAATTCATTATACATACTTTCCAAGTTACTTTAATGGTAGTAGGGCCCTTTTGTTCGATACTAACATCGACGGGGGGAAGGCTGGGTTCTGAAATGTTTAAAGAAAATTGTCATAATTATTTAGTAAATTTGATAGCTAAATGATACAAATATTTTAAAATATAACTTACCTTCTTCTCCAGTATGAAAACGTACTGGTTTTGATGCTTCACCTCTTCCGACAGAATTTTCAGCTACTACATTCACAACATAAGAAGTGCCTGGATGTAATTTATCTATCATAGTAGAGGTTTGCAAACTTGATATAGGATGTTCATGAAGACGATGAGGTGCACCTGCAACGGATTTATATCTTATTAACCAATTTTTGCTTTTATAATTCGTATATAAAGCTAAATTATGCAGAGAAGGTGTGATTCATTGAATAACAGTCCTACTTATGTAGGTGAAAATTAATTTCAAAACATAATTCTAACTTAAAAGAGAGAGTTTTCACTCCTAAAATGATTTGGGTGTAAATTTTTTATAAATATGTAAACTAGTTTTTGTAAAAATTAACATTTGAATTAAAATTGGAATTTTATTTGCTTCAAATAGAATTAACTTGTATCTCTACCGATTCATTAATATTTTATTCACCTTTTTCTCGCCAATACTGCACTATATACTTTGTAATAGGGCTATTTCCTGTATAAGGCACGGACCAGACAACTGTGGCACTTCGACTCCACCTTTCAGCAATTTTAACATTTTGAGGGCGTCCAGGAACCTCTAAAAATATAATTAATAAATAAAAATTTCAAATAATAATTTTAAAAAAGTCAAATAACTAACCTAATATAGACAATTTGACTTTTCTTTCATCAGATCCATATGTGTTTTCGGCAATACATATATATATAGAGCCATCATCTCGTTTTGTTTCTCGAATAACTAATTCAGATTGAAGACCCTCCGATGTAAGAGTCTCGAATACTTCATATCTAAATAGACAACATGATTGATTAAAACGGATGGAAAGAATGTATATACTATTAGTTTATCGAAGTATATTATTAAAAGAAAAATTTTAAAATTAAATTCGGATGACGCGTCTGATGTCGTGAATGTGTCCCACTCATCCAGAACCCCTAGAATGGGATATCGATTTGCTGACGCTCGGTGAAGATTTTAACGATTGTATGGATGAGGAAAGTGGAGTTAAGAACACAATTAGCATTTATCGAAGAAAGAAACTGTGTTACTCGTTACTACTGATAATAATTTTGAATCTTATAATTATTAGTAATCTCGGAAATTAGTATTATGAAATATAATGTGTATAAGTTTGTTTTATAATTTAAACATTTAATAATTAACACTTACCTAGCATTTCTACTTTTCGATAACTGTAAGGGGCCTTTTTTCCACGTTATTGATAACGGTTGATCTCCGATAGCATCGCACCTCAGTCTGGCGCTATCTCCTTTCTTACTGGTTACTGTGCTATATTTCTCTTCAAATCTTGCTGGAACTAATATTAAAAAAATATGCTATATATATCTAAATAATAATTTAATTTGTTGTTATTGTTTCGATATGTGACGTTGTTAGGATATCTCGTGCTGAATTAAATAACCTGAATTAAATAACCACACATACACACCATTTATTATTCTTTCATTTATTATCTTACCAAATACGTCTATTTTTATAATTTTTTTAAGTGTATTGCCGAATTTATTATCAGCTTGACACATATATGTTCCACTGTCTTCCTTTTTCACATTTGTAATAATGATTGTGCCATTTTTAAGCACGGTCCATCTATCACTTTCTGCAGCTAAAATTGGTGTATTTTCTGAACTATCGTCTATAAAAACAACGAGATATATTAAAATTTAGGCATATAATTTTTAAAAAGTATATATATATAAACGGTTTTAATTTTGTACTTACCTAACTTTAACCATTTTACTTGAGGAGGCGGAAATCCGAATACCTTACAATCCAGATAATGATTAGAACCAAAAATGATCGAATGATCCATTGGTTCTGTGATCCATCTAGGAGGAACTATTGAGAGAATATTTTTATTTTAACATAGAAAATAACTTATACATATGCATTATAATAATAATAACAACGCTTGTAAAAATAATCTTTGTTCTTACCTTTAATATCAAAGAAAGCAGTGTGACTGTCTGAGCCAATTTTATTTTTTACTTTACAAGTGTAATTTCCTTTATGTCTAACATCAACGTGATCAATTATCAATGCAGAATACAAATCATGATTATTAATTTTGATGTCTTCATCACTTGTTAGAACAACATTATTTTTTAACCAACTAAAAGTTATTGGTTTAATTCCATCTGTAACTGTACAAAATATACTGATAGATTTACCAGCAATTATATTATCAGGAAAACTAAAGGGTTGAATAACGGGAGTATCTAAAAACATAAACAATTAATATTAATGAATAATCCTTTTTTATCATTTGCAATGAATTATTTAAAAATTTTTTTAAAGATAATACTTACCAGAACAAATAACTGGATATAATACACTGATTTTCACGATGATAAAGATTATAACCAAAAGTTTAAATAATATACTCATTATAAAGTATTTCAACTATTAATAACACTGCAAGAAAACTTGAGTTATGCTTTGTATATTGTAAACGAGCGGTGAGAAAGCGCCACATCTAGTCGAAAACAAAAATCACACTTTTTCGAAATTTATGTTATAAAAATAGATTTTATATGTATTAATATAAGTTCCAGATATATAATTAATTTAGTTAAGGTAATTTTAATATTTATGTAGTTTATGAAATATGTATTATGTTGAAACCATCTGATATCCATAAATATTGAATGTTTACTTTTAATAATTTGTACAACCTGTAATTTAAAATATTTATTATTCTTACCATGCACTATAACCGTAATTATCTTTCTTAAACTTGGAGGTATCCCATTATCAGCTTCACAGACGTAATTTCCACTGTGTTTGATATCGACATTTGTAATATAAAATGTACCATTTTCCGATTTTTGAACGTTGTTTGTGGAATAATCGTTTTCTAAATTTGAAATGTTTTGAGAGAATAAATAATAATTGTTAAAATATAAGTTAAAATTCTATAAAGCACTTCAAATACATAAAAGAAAACAAACTCTCACTACCTGTAAATCGTTTCAAGGTTACAGTTGGCAAAGGATGACCATCAGCTGTACACTGAATTGTTAAATTGTTATTTCTGATTACATCTAAAATTTTAATATCATTCGTCCATTGAGGCGGAACTAAAAGAAGTTACATTTGATATATATTTTAAAAAAATAAAATGGTTTATTAGTTCTGAAAATGTATTAAAATTAAAATATATAGACTTACTTTTAACTCTAAGCTGAGCTGTAAATTTATCTTCTCCTATACTATTCTGTACTAAGCATGTATAATTGCCAATACTTTTTAAATCAACAGGCTCTATTGTTAAAACAGAAAACTCTTCGTCTGTTTTTAAATGAATTCCAGAGATGTCTTTTACATTTTGATTATTTTTTAACCAATTAAATGTTAATGGTTTTTTTCCAAGTGCAAAACAGCCAATACTAATTTTACTTCCCATTTTTACTTCTGATGGAAAATGAAATGGCTGAATCTTTGGCGATTCTAAAAATTAAAGTGTAAAATTTAATGATTTTATTTAAGTTAAAATATTTTAATATATCGCAAAGCATATTAAAATATACTGGCGTTTACATACCTTGCTCATAAGTAAATCCATAGCTGATTAGTTTCATGATATTTAACGCTATTATTATTTGTGTGGATGTCAGCATTATGTTGTTTATAAGGACAATTAGAAGTAAGAAAAGCTACTAAATGTGTTTGAATCACAATTTAACAACATGAAAACTCAGTGCAAGTAGCATCTGTTCAAAGCGACAAAACGCCATACAACGGATACAACACGAATTAAAGCATACAAAATATATATTTCATGATTTAAATTTCTGGAGAATTATACCTTTAACACTTAACGTGATGGTCTTTTTCAGAGAAGTTCCAATACCGTTATATGCGGAGCATTCATATAAACCTTCGTCATTCTTTGAGATCTTAACAAATGTCAGTTTTTCATTGTCCTTAATTTCTTTATTATCCATACTGACAGAAGAATCGAAAGGGCCTTCTAATACGAATATTATCAGAATATAAATATATCGAGATTTGGAATTATTCGAGAAATACATTAAAATATATTAAAATTATGTACCTTTTCGTACCCAAGTAATAGTTGGCTTTGGGTATCCAGAAGCTTGACAAAGTATTGTTATATTACCATTTGCGACTGCTTCAGAATTTTTCGGTTCTTCTATCCATGAAGGCGGAACTATATTTTCATATATGTTATTAAATTTTATATACTATAAGCTTATATTAGAATACATTTTAAGCAAATTTTTATACAATAATTTACCTGGAATCTGTAAGTTTGCTGTATGTGAAGTTGAACCAAAGGCATTAGAGACAATACAAGTATAGTTGCCTCTGTTTTGTTCATCTAAAGGATCTATAGCTAATATTGAAAGGCTAGTATGAGTATGAATTTTAGCGTTTGAACCATCTTTAATCTCTTTGTTTTCTTTCATCCACATAAACGTTAAAGGTTTATCACCAGAAATAACAGAACATGACACACTTAAACTATCTCCTGTTTTCAAATTGTCAGGAAACGTAAATGGTTTAATCACTGGTAATTCTAAAAAAATAATGAACATATTATAAATCTCAATAACAATTTAATAAATTCATAACAAATGTGATAAGTAACAAGATAAAAACTTACCTGAAGCAGAAGTATTAATGAAAACGATTGATATCATCTGATATAAAATAAAAGTGATGATAAAATGAATCCTCGAAACCATTTCGACTCGTTCGATTAATTAAGTATACAGATAGATTTATATTATCTCCGGAAAAGTGATGTCTGATCGTAAAGCCAATTCAAGTAACACTACTACCATTATTGCCTAACATTTCTTTCTGCAGCGCCGTACAGCGGAAAACTGAGGCATTAAAATTGTTTTCAGTCATAATCACATAATACTAGAAATTCTCCAGGAATCATAATAATTTCTTTGTATCATAAAAATATCATTGAAAAACATATCTACAACTCTAAACAATTTAACAATAGAAAATAAGGCATATAAAAATCATGCCCTTTCTAGTTTACACAAGCAAAACACATAATATGATTTCTGATAAATAAATATAATTTATTGATACTATATACATATTAAATAATCGATACCTTTAACAGTAACAGTAATTGCCTTTCTGATTTCTCCTAAATTATTTTTGGCTAAACATTCATAAATTCCTCCGTCTTCTTTCTTTACATGAATTAAAAGCAAAGTACTATTCATGATGAATTTATGGTCCATTACTAAATTCTCTTTTTCACCAAAAGAATTTTCTAAGATACAAAAATAATTTAAATTTGAGTAATTTAAATTCTTCAAATAAAAACGTGTTGAATTTTTATACCTTGTTTGNATATTAACTTGAAAAATATGTAAGTTGTCTCAAATATCACCTTTAATATTCCAAGTTATAGAAGGTTTAGGGTATCCAGACGCTTGACATTCGATGGTCACATTGGTATCAACAACAACTTCTACATTTTTAGGTTCTTTTTCCCAACTTGGAGATACTATAAATGTAAATTTTATTAAATATTTTATATATTTTGATAGCGACATAAATCTTTACAAATAGAATTATCATTTTATTAATAAATTGAAACACAAAATATACGCTTACTTGGAACAATCAATGTCGCTGTATGACTTGCAGTGCCGACTGCATTTGATACGATACATGTATAATTTCCCGCATTTTCTGAACTTACAGAATCGATAGATATTACTGATATATGATTAGCAGTTATGATTTTAATTACAGAATTTTCTGATATATCTTCCTGATCCTTTTTCCAGTTAAAAACAAAGGGTTGATCCCCAGATGTAGCAGTACACATTGCACTTATTCTGTTACCAACTTTTATAGTCTGCGGAAAATTGAATGGTGCAATAACAGGTAAATCTGTCAATAACAAACAGCTCTTTAGAATATCGAAAATTGCTGTTAAAACACTTAAAGTTCTAATAATGAATTGGCTTTGCAGAAAAATTTTGCAATTAAATTGTTAATAAAAGTAAGCTTACCTTGACAAAGAGCGAAAAGCAGAAATAAACTGACAAAAACAACACTCGTTAGTAAAAGTGTCATCTCTCTCGATTTCAAAGGTACAGGTTTACTTCGTTGTGTACTTTCAATATTGGTAAATGTTTTATTTTAAGATCATCCACATATATGTTGAGAAATATAAGTAGGGAGTTGCGAGTAGAATCACAGCAAGTAGTAAGATACACTGAATAGCATAATACGCGAAGCCATGCTTAGGATATATGCGCCACTCAACGGTAAAATGTGAAAGATAAAATATATTAAACTAAATATATTACAAAGTAAATACATACTTAATACAAATACAATACAATACATAATAAATACAAATAATAAATAAATAAAAATTAAACTATAATATAAATTTAATAACATTTTGATGAAATTGTATTTAATCTAATTGCAATTTAAACAATTAAAATATGTTAAAAGTAAAACAATCATACGTGTAAAACATTTTAATTTATTAACGCTTTTTTACCTTTTACAATAACAGTTATTGTCTTTTGAAGAGTAGTACCAAGAATATTTATTGCTGTACATTCGTAAATACCTTCATCTTCTTTTGTAATCGAGAAAAATTTTAATTCTCCATTATCTGATTTTCTGAAACTTTTTTCATTCGAACTGTCGNATAAAATTTCAATAATAATATAAAGATAATAGTTTTACCTTTCCGACTCCAAGATAAATTTGGTATGGGAAAACCATGCGCTTGGCATTGAATGGTTATATTGTTACCTACCACAATATCTGTATTTTTTGGTTCTAAAATCCATGTAGGAGACACTTTAAAAACAAATCGCATAAAATAAATAACATTTTAAAATAATGAAGTAAGTATTAGAAAAAGCCAATTTACTGATTTTAAAATATTAATCCTTACTTGGAATTTCTAAGACTGCATTATGCCTAGTTGTGCCAAATTCGTTACTAACTATGCATGAATAGTTTCCTGAGCTTTCGACAGTTATGGGATCGATTCTTAAAACTGATTCAACAGCGTGAATATGAATAGTAATATGTTTGTCTTCTTTAATAGTTCTACTTTCCTTCTCCCACCAAATTTTGAATGGCTTTGAGCCTGAAATCACTGCACATATAACACTAACTCTTCCACCAATTTTTAAATTAGATGGAAAATTAAAAGGATTAATTCCTGGAGGTTCTGTAAAGTTATGTTAAAGATGTAATTTGAATCAATATTATAACAGATTTAAATTTAGACTATTTGTGTTTTATAAAATTCGATGAAACATAATCTTACCTTGGCTTTTGACAGTAATCCAGAAAATATGATAGAAAAGCAGAACAAAAACTGTAGATGATATCATTTTCACTTGATAACACAGTTCCTAAAGTTCTGTATTAGTCGAAATCCAAATACAAAGGATAACTTTCGTTTAGAATTGCATATAACAATACATATCCTTCAGGAAATTACAAGAGAATGAAGAATGTACTGTACAACTACCATTACGATCATAGCAAAATAGCTTAGCGCCACAGCGTGGAGAAAATATTTACTAGAGAAAGTACAAAACTTGGAAAAATATATTTTGAATTAAATTTACTCATTATATACGATTTCGATCAAAACGGTTGAAAAGATTTATTGTTTCACACATCAAAATGTTCATGTTTTGAAATTTCATTTATTTAAACGTAATTGTCTGTATATATACATTACTAATTATCGACAATTAACAATTTTTATTATGAAAGATCAATTTACTTTTCTCACCTTTAACGGTAATAGTGATAATTTTCTTCAGTTCTCCAATTCCGTTTCTCGCAGAACATTCCATTATTCCTTCTTGTTCTTTCTGTATATTTGTTATAATCAAATTTCCTTCGACAGTAACTTTATAAAACTTTGAATTTTGCATTTCAAAAGAATTATCATGGTTTTCTATAAATTACAATTTTCATTTTTCATTAATACTGAAGTTAATATATTTTTAAATATAATAGATTTCTCATTATGTGTAATCTTACAAAAATGTAATGGTTACAAATTGAAGTATAAATTTATCATATTTTTATTGTGAAAAGTCCATGTTACCTTTATTTGTCCATGTTACAGTAGGAGGAGGATAACCATATGCTTGACAAGCTACGGTTACATTGTTCCCGATAATACTTTCTATATTTTGAGGTTCCTGTTTCCAGATAGGCGGTACTAAATCAATTAAAATTTAATAAGTTTTTACTTCTAAATTCATAAATTTCATTTAGCGGATTTATAATGTAATCAATTCTACAACTGACCTGGTACTTCCAAATTTGCTGTGTAAGATGTCGTACCGAACTTATTCGATACGATACAAGAATAATTTCCAGAGCTATTACTATTTATAGGATTAATTGATAATAGAGAATGTTCGGGATGTGTAAATATTTCTATATTTTCTTTTTCTGTGATAATTACATTATTTTTCATCCATTGAAAAGTTAAAGGTTTCTTTCCTGATGTTATAGAACAAATAATGTTCACTCTATCACCATTTTTCAACTTTTCTGAAAAGTGGAATGGGTGAATCTGAGGTGCATCTGAAAAATGGTGATAATTTGAAAATTTTGTTCATTTACAAAATACTAAATGTATTAAAATGAATAAAGTAAAATCTTTAAGTGAATTTTTATAAATAATTAAATTCATTTATAATAAAATATTATTTACGAAAAATTATTATTATTTCGTGACTATCTCGTTTGCTTAATCGTATTAATTTTTTATTATAAGTGTAATAGCAAGTTTCTTACCTTGGCTGTAACTCCTCTGACACAAATAACAAATGATCATAATGTGCAGCAGTGTCATATTAAGAGCTGATCTATAACACGAAATACTACTATGTACTTCAGTGATCGGCTGTAAACATGTATATATATATATATATATATTCGAATCCCTGACTCAATTCAACTGAAATACTAGAAATGCTATTAAAAACTATATAAATTTTTACATACACAGCGATCAAAAGTATATGCTGTAATAGAGAAAGCTTTTACTAGCTCGAGTGCGCCACATAACGATAAAAACATGTACTAGGACAAAACACAATGTTTTTAAACAACATGATCTTCAGTAAAATATTTTCTAATTTATTTAATGTAAGATTCAAAAAGTATATTTTTGAAAATATTTTTGAAATTTCTAATGACTTATTTCTATGAACATTATTTTATATATATAAGTTAATACAAAATATATAAAATATAAATTTCCAGTTTAAATATAATATGGGATCATTACAAATTAATTACTTTTAGCAGTTTCGTAATTTTAAGTTTCTGATTTAATTAAGAGAATCTTACCCTTAACTGATAGTGTAACAGATTTTTTTAATTCCTTTCCAATTCCGTTTTTTGCAATGCACTCTAAAATTCCTTCATCTTCTTTTTGAATATTTGTAATTATTAAAGTTCCATCTAAGGTAATCTGATAATTTTCTTTCAAAGTCTCCATACTTTTATCCAAATGATGAAACAAAGTTTCTTTAAATCGACAAAATAATTTTTAAAATATCCAAGATGAAATAATTTTGTAGAATAAAATTTAAAAAGTTTACCCTTTTTTCGCCATTGTATAGTAGGTAATGGGAAACCATAGGCTTGGCATCGAATCGTTATATTATTACCAATAACGCTCTCAGTATCGTGTGGTTCTTGTTTCCATTCAGGTGGTGCTTTTTATATATAATTTGCATATTAAAATTAGATTTATTGCTGTAGACTTTAACTGCAAACTTTTTAAAGTGTTTCAATGCTAAAACTACTTACCTGATACGATTAATATTGCACTATAACTTGTTGTTCCTACTAAATTTGAAACTATACAAGTGTAATTTCCGTTGTTTTGATCAGTTATTGAATCAATGGCTAAAACCGTGAGATCAGTGTGGAAAAGAATTTCTATGTTTTTACCATCAAGTAAGATATCTGCATCTTTCTTCCACTGAAATGTTAATGGTCTTGTACCAGAACTGACAGAACAAGTAACACTTACGCGGTCACCCATTTTTAAGTCTTGAGGAAAAGAAAACGGACGAATTTTGGGAGAAACTGTAAATAGAATTAGAATTATTCTTAATTTTTAATATAATTTGTTTCTGTGTTCATCACTAAGTTAAGATGTTTCTATTTCAATCATATTTCAAAAATCAAATTTTTGAAATAAATAGTTGTTATAATTGGTTTTAGTATTTTAGTTTAGTAAATTCATATTTAAGTTATTTGTACAAAATAGAATCTTATGTAAACTCACCTTGGTTAGAAATGAAGCCGACCAAACAAAATAATCCAAGGCAACAAATCCATGAACTGTACTCTGCCATATCTTATGTTCAGTTTTCTTTGTCTTATATAGACATGAAATACACTTAACAGACACTTACATTTAAAGTAATTTCTTATCCATTTACCTATATCATTCAGTAAATATAATTTTTATGTACATTTCAATGATATTTTAATATAGCAGAAAGAGCACCGACCACGAAATATATGTTTTTACGCTATCCAATTCTTAACTATACAACGCCACATATCGGATAATAAATGAACTATATTTCAATTATTAAATGAAATTTAAAGCATAACAGAATTAACATTTATAACAAGATTGAATTAATATTTTGAGATTTAATTAAAATTACGTGCTATATCATACCTTTAATTATTAAACTAACTGCTTTCTTCAAACCTATTCCTATGCCATTTTTTGCTGAACATTCATAAATTCCTCCGTCTTCTTTCTTTACATGAATTAAAAGCAAAGTACTATTCATGATGAATTTATGGTCCATTACTAAATTCTCTTTTTCACCAAAAGAATTTTCTAAGATACAAAAATAATTTAAATTTGAGTAATTTAAATTCTTCAAATAAAAACGTGTTGAATTTTTATACCTTGTTTGATCCATGAAATAGTTGGAACAGGAAATCCATTTGCTTCACAATGTAAACTGGCATTTTGTCCAACCACGACATCGAGAGAATTTGGTTCGATTTTCCAAGATGGAGATACTGAAAGGTTTCTATTATTTTTGTTATAGTAACAATAATTTCTTATGCTTAGCCAAAATTAATGGTCGCGCAATATAGTTTTTCATTTATGATTAATGTAATAAATTAATTACAAAGTTCAAAAAGTTGTGATTCTCTTTACTTATCATATATTTAAAAAGTTAAAAATGCATATGTAATTTATCATTAGATTTAATTCAGATGGTACTCGTATATGTAAATCAAGAAAATTTTGATTGGATTAATAATAATTTCTTAAAACTTATTAATTAAATATATTTTAAAATTTTTTTTATATTTACCTGGCACTTCTAATACAGCTGTGTGAAAAGTAGTTCCAAAATTGTTACTTACAAAGCAAGTGTAGTTTCCTACACTATTTTCATTAATAGAATGTATAGTAATTACTGACACATCGGAATGACTATGAATTTTTATATTCTTAGTTTCAAACATTTCTTCTCCATCTTTTATCCAATGAAACGTTAGCGGTTGTTGCCCGGAACTAACTGAACAGAGAATACTGACTTTATCTCCAATTTTGAGATCACGAGGAAGAGAGAATGGTCTGATTATAGGCATGTCACCATCTGAAAATGATAGAAACGTATTTTGGAATTCAATATTCTAGTATGGTTTTCAATTTATATATGCTATTTATTTTATCAATTTAGTAAAGCTATCATTTACTAAATTTTAGATTCAAGTACAGAAATGTTCATTTTAATTTCAAAATAATAATTCTTGTGTTAATAAATTGTTATATTAATTCAAAAATGTCTAACTTATTAAACACTTATGATGATGTATATAGCCTACTGATCTTAACAATGAAAACAAGTAGCAAATAGCAAAATCAGAATGCAGATTATATACATACAGTATAATGTAAATCCAGTTTCGTACAAGAAAATGTTATATTTTAATTAAGAATACTAAATAATAATAAAGCTATAATTAGTTTACCTTGTTTATCAGCAACTGAGATCATCATGGATAATAAAGATGTACAGCAGGCGATAATGTAATATATCATTTTTCTAATTAAATGTTGTTCTATAAGATTTATAATGAAAAACTACTAAATGAAGTCAAAAGCTATTCCGATAGGAATTACGCTGGATAAATCACAATAAAGTCAAAAATATTTCACACACTTCGCGAGCCTTCCCCACCTCTGCCCAGTAAATGCACTAATGGCAAGTTCATGTGCGTTTGCAGCGCCTCATGATGGAAATTTTTGAAAATAAATTCCAAATTAACGAGTATATTTTGAAGTATATTTCTAAAATAAAATTATTAGCTTACTATGGTATTATACAAAATGATTTATATAGAATTCTATTGCGAAAGTATAAGTAGTTTCATAATAAATATTTAATTATTATTTACTATGGTTCTTTTTGGAAATTATAAATTCAAATTTATAGTTAAAGCCATAATAATATTTCTTAAATGCGCAATGTTTTTACAATGTAAATAAATTCTGTACAAAGTCAAATGTTTTTCGGCATTGTACTGTACCTACATGAAGTGTTGTATAATTAAAAATCTATGTATAGGGTATTTTATTACTTCTTAAGATAATAAATTAATACAGTACGTGTAAGCAAATTAACGACAATAGCTTTGAGGTAAGTGTAACTTAAGGTAACGTCATAAGTTACACTTACCTCAAAGAATAAATTTATATGCTGCTTGATATGCATTATCACACTTACCTTACTTTAATGTAACGTAAATAACTTTCTTAAATTATTTTCTGAATATGTAAGACATATTTTCTATAATTTAAGAAAAGTTAAAAAATTAATGAAAAAACAATATTCCATACTTTATTCAAGAAACTTAAGAGAAAAAGCTATAATAAATATTAATGTTTTTGATTAGAATTGTATTGCATTTGCACTTTTTATTACATACATCTTATATCTTTTCAACATAGCTACTATAATTTTTACGGTATCTTTATCGCTGTTCATAATTTCTTAGTCATTAGAAAATTTTTCAGTTACCACAAATTGATATTTTAACATTTTGTATTTTGCTTTTTTTTCCTGTGTAACCACACTATATAATTTGTTACAAAAACATTTTCAGGTAGAAAACACCGATCGTTTTCCGATATCACTGACGGGTAATATGATGATATCAATTGTTTATTCACTTTGCATATTTACAGGATCTGCGAGAAGTCAAATAAGACTTTGGCTCCATTCTCCTTCGAAAGCTATAAAAACGTACAAATGAAATCGATGAACGAAATAAAACCAAATTTTATTACCACTTAATCAAAAGAAACTATAATTTATATCACCATCACATCATTTTTCAAAAGACAAAATATTTCAAACATAGATCAAACGGCCTTGCTGTTTCCGTTCTGTCTGGGCCTACATATTCACAGACTAATTTTCTTTGTATAATGTAATAATAATATCATATAATTCGTATAATAATTCGATGCTATATTTTGGTTTTCTTCATAATTATACAATTCGATCGCAAAGTCCCTCCGAAGTGGTCACGCCCAAGTGGCTCGGCAGAGTGGTGAGATCATAGGGCGTATTCAAAATTTCAGCGCGCAGACAGCACCTCTGTTCAAAATCTCAGATAGCTTCTGGTTGCTGCCAGCGTGTTTCCAGCAAACTGAAAGCGTCTTTTTCGGTGCTCCATACACCGGCAAACAAAAGCCTCATGGTGGCTGCCATGAGGCTCGTAAGAGCTCTATTTTGCGTTGACAGTTTTGAATTTAATTTATTTATTGATGAATACACCTTCGATTAGTACATTAACAGAATATTTTAATATACTAGTATATTTACGTAATACATCACATAATTTTTTTAGTTGCTAATTAAAATGTAATCTTAGAATTTATTTATTTATTTAAAACTCCTAGGGAAATTTTAAAAATCTTTATCCCTATTTTTCTTTTCGAAATACAGTAGAACCTCCATTATCCGGATTTTCGATTATCCGGATTGTTCAAAATAAACAAAAATTTTACGAATTTGCTGATTTGCNAATCATTAAATTTAATTATTAAAACCTTACATTTTTTAGTCCATTCCATTTTTGGTGTTGGAAAGCCATTTGCTTCACATTTTATAGTTACATTATCATCTTTAACAATTTCGATATCTTTTGGTTCAATTTTCCACGTTGGCGGTACTTAAGTGAATAAAGAAACAATGTCATAATTTATATTAGCTATTTATATCTAACTAATCTTTAAATTAACTTACTTGGAACTTCTAATCTTGTCATGTAGCTATTTGAACCATATTTATTTGAAACTGTGCAAGTATAGTTTCCGATATTTTCTTCTTTAATAGATTTTATTGATACTGCTGATAAATCTGAATGTGTAAGCACTGCTACGTTTGTATTTTCGTTAATATCGATATGATCTTTTTTCCATTGAAATTTTAATGGTCGGCTGCCAGAGGTTACAGAACATGTTACGCTTCCTATATCTCCAATTTTTAAATTGGGAGGAAAGGAAAATGGAGCAATTTTAGGAATATCTATAAAAAATGAATTATCATTAACTTTTATATTAATATTTCTTTGATAAATCGAAACATTTAAGAATATAAAATAGAATTAATGATAATTGAAAGTTATTTTACCTTGATTCTTCACTATGCCGACTATGCACAAAGTAGATATTGTTATCCAATAGATGTTAAAAGCCATTTATGTTGTAATTTGTAATTGATTTTGCGAAAAGATGACAAGGAAAGGTAAAACTCCAAAAGCAATTCAAACTGCAACTCGTAAAATGCAAAAGAACACAGCATAGATATACAATGAGTAAAGACACTTTTCTACAGCATTATACACTAAACGCCACACAGCGCCAAAAAGTAGAAGTATCAACAAAACACTATTCATAACCATTTATAAATTTTTCGACATGATACATCATTTTAAACTGAATCAATTTTAATTATTAATATTGATAATAAATCATAATTAATAATTATTTAGTTATTGATAGGTTTATGTCATCTAAATTATTTCCATATATTTAATCCGTTCCCTTACCTCTAACTATAACATTAATTGTTTTTCTCAAAATGGGTCCAACTCCATTTTTGGCAGTGCATTCATATTCACCTTCATCATCCTTTTTTGCATTAATTATTAATAAATTTCCATCTTTATTATTTTTATACAGATCTTTTTCATCATTCGTTTCTTGAATATTAAAAGGATTTTTAAATTGATTATATTTTTAAAATGTATGATATGGAAATAAAATTTCAATAATAATATAAAGATAATAGTTTTACCTTTCCGACTCCAAGATAAATTTGGTATGGGAAAACCATGCGCTTGGCATTGAATGGTTATATTGTTACCTACCACAATATCTGTATTTTTTGGTTCTAAAATCCATGTAGGAGACACTTTAAAAACAAATCGCATAAAATAAATAACATTTTAAAATAATGAAGTAAGTATTAGAAAAAGCCAATTTACTGATTTTAAAATATTAATCCTTACTTGGAATTTCTAAGACTGCATTATGCCTAGTTGTGCCAAATTCGTTACTAACTATGCATGAATAGTTTCCTGAGCTTTCGACAGTTATGGGATCGATTCTTAAAACTGATTCAACAGCGTGAATATGAATAGTAATATGTTTGTCTTCTTTAATAGTTCTACTTTCCTTCTCCCACCAAATTTTGAATGGCTTTGAGCCTGAAATCACTGCACATATAACACTAACTCTTCCACCAATTTTTAAATTAGATGGAAAATTAAAAGGATTAATTCCTGGAGGTTCTGTAAAGTTATGTTAAAGATGTAATTTGAATCAATATTATAACAGATTTAAATTTAGACTATTTGTGTTTTATAAAATTCGATGAAACATAATCTTACCTTGGCTTTTGACAGTAATCCAGAAAATATGATAGAAAAGCAGAACAAAAACTGTAGATGATATCATTTTCACTTGATAACACAGTTCCTAAAGTTCTGTATTAGTCGAAATCCAAATACAAAGGATAACTTTCGTTTAGAATTGCATATAACAATACATATCCTTCAGGAAATTACAAGAGAATGAAGAATGCACAACTACCATTACGATCATAGCAAAATAGCTTAGCGCCACAGCGTGGAGAAAATATTTACTAGAGAAAGTACAAAACTTCGAAAAAATAATTTTTGAATTAATATTATTCTTTGTGTACGATTCCGATCAAAACGGTTGAAAATACTTATTGTTTCACACATCAGAATGTCCACTTTTTGAAATTTCATTTATTTAAACTTAATTGCCTCTATATACATTACTAATTATCGACAATTAACAATTTTTATTATGAAACATCAATTTACTTTTCTCACCTTTAACGGTAATAGTGATAATTTTCTTCAGTTCTCCAATTCCGTTTCTCGCAGAACATTCCATTATTCCTTCTTGTTCTTTCTGTATATTTGTTATAATCAAATTTCCTTCGACAGTAACTTTATAAAACTTTGAATTTTCCATTTCAAAAGAATTAACATGGTTTTCTATAAATTACAAAATTTATTTTTGATAAATATTACAGTTAATATTTTTAAAATATAGTGGATTTATTATATGTAATTGTACTAAATATATAACAGTTTTAAATTGAAATGTAAATTTATTTTATTTTTATTGTTAGAAGTCCATGTTACCTTTATTTGTCCATGTTACAGTAGGAGGAGGATAACCATTTGCTTGACAAGCTATGGTTACATTGTTACCGATAATACTTTCTATATTTTGAGGTTCCTGTTTCCAGATAGGCGGTACTAAATTAATTAAAATTTATTAAATTTTTATTTCTAAATCTATAAATATAGTTAAGCGGATTAATTTTATATAATATAATCAATTCCACATTCACTAACCTGGTACTTCTAAAATGGCTGTGTAAGATGTCGTACCGAATTTATTCGATACAACACAAGAATAATTTCCAGAGCTATTACTGTTTATAGGATTAATTGCTAATACAGAATGCTCAGGATGTGTAAATATTTCTATATTTTCTTTTTCTGTAATAATTATATTATTTTTCATCCATTGAAAATTTAAAGGTTTCTTTCCTGATGTTATAGAACAAATAATGTTTACTCTATCACCATTTTTCAACTTTTCAGAAAAGTGGAATGGGTGAATCTGAGGAGCATCTGAAAAACGACGAATTTTTAAAAAAATTTTTAAATTACGAAATGTTAAAGTTACTGAAATTAGCAAATTAAAATTTTGAAATAAATTTTTATAAATATTTTACTATAAAAAATGTAAGTATTTTATACGGATCGTTTTTCTTTATTATGAATGTTTCTTATCCCATTTGCTTAATCGCGTTATTTTTATATTTTAAATATAAGAGCAAGTTTCTTACCTTGGCTGTAACTCTGTTGACACAAATAACAAATAATTATCAAATGCAGCAGTGCCATATTAAGAACTGGTCTATAACACGAAATATTACTATTCATATTAGTGATCGGTTGAAAACTTATATACAAGTATATCCGAATCCTTAGCTCACTTCAACTGAAATACTAGAAATACCATTAAAAATTAGGTAAACTTTAACATACACAGCAGTCAAAAGTATATGCTGTAATAGAGAAAGCTTTTTACTAGCTCGAGTGCGCCACATAACGATTAAAACATGTACTAGAGCAAAATACAATGTATTTAAGACATCATGATATTCAGACAAATATTTTCTAATTTATTTAATGTAAGACTCGAAAAAATATATTTTCAATGTAGTTTTTTAAATTTCTAACGAAACATTTATTTCTATGAATTTATTTCATATAAATATATAAAAGATAAATTCCCAACAAATACAAATACAGGATAATTAAAAATTATTGAAATACTTTTAGCAATTTTTAAATTTTGAGTTTTGGATTTTATTATGTGAATCTTACCCTTAACTGATAGTGTAACAGACTTTTTTAATTCCTTTCCAATTCCGTTTTTAGCAACACACTCTAAAATGCCTTCATCTTCTTTTTGAATATTTGTAATTATTAAAGTTCCATCTGAAGTAATCAGATAATTTTCTTTCAGCGATCCTACCCTTTTATCCGAGTGATGAAACGGATTTTCTTTAAATCGATAAAATAATTTTAAAAATGCCCAAAATAAAGTAAATTTTATTGTCATTTCTATCAATAAAATAATATTTATTGAATATAATAAAATGTGTACCTCTTCTTTGCCATTGTATGGTAGGCAATGGGAAGCCATAGGCTTGACATCGAATTGTTATATTAGAACCAATAACGCTCTCAGTATCGTGTGGTTCTTGTTTCCATTCAGGTGGAGCTATTTATGAATAATTTTAACATTATTAAAATTAGATTTATTGTTATAAATTTTACTGCAAACATTATTAAATATTTTACTTTTAAAATGACTTACCAGATACGGTTAATATTGTACTATAACTTGTTGTTCCTGCTAAATTTGAAACTATGCAAGTGTAATTCCCATTGTTCTGATCTGTTATTGAATCAATGGCTAAAACTGAAAGATCAGTATGAAAATGAATTTCTGTATTTTTACCCTCGACTAGAGTGTCCGTATCTTTCTTCCATTGAAATGTTAATGGTCTTGTACCAGAACTGGCAGAGCATATAACACTTACACGGTCACCCATTTTTAAATCTTGAGGAAAAGCAAACGGGCGAATTTTGGGAGACACTGTGCAAACATAATAAAATTAATTTTTAATTTTTAAATATAATTTGTTGTTTTGTTCATCATTAAGTTAAGGCGATTCTATTTTAATCGTAACATTGATTTTTGAAATAAAAAAGTTATTCTAATAATTTTGAATATTTTAGTTTACTAAATTAAGATTTAAGTCAACAATGACATAAAAGAATATAATATGTAAACTCACCTTGGTTTGAAATGGAACCAACCAAGCAAAATAAGCCAAGGCAACAAATCCACATACTGTAGTCTGCCATATCTTATATTCAGTGTCCTTTGTCTTATACAGTCATGAAATTCATGTCACTAATACTTACATATAAAATGACCACTTATTCATATACTATATCATTTGGTATATATATCTTTCACGAACATTTTAATGATGCTTTAACATAAGAGAAAGTGCACCGAGCACGAAATATACACTATCCAATCTTTAACAATACAACGCCACATATCGGATAATAAATGAACTATATTTCAATTATTAAATGAAATTTAAAGCATAACAGAATTAACATTTATAACAAGATTGAATTAATATTTTGAGATTTAATTAAAATTACGTGCTATATCATACCTTTAATTATTAAACTAACTGCTTTCTTCAAACCTATTCCTATGCCATTTTTTGCTGAACATTCATAAATTCCTCCGTCTTCTTTCTTTACATGAATTAAAAGCAAAGTACTATTCATGATGAATTTATGGTCCATTACTAAATTCTCTTTTTCACCAAAAGAATTTTCTAAGATACAAAAATAATTTAAATTTGAGTAATTTAAATTCTTCAAATAAAAACGTGTTGAATTTTTATACCTTGTTTGATCCATGAAATAGTTGGAACAGGAAATCCATTTGCTTCACAATGTAAACTGGCATTTTGTCCAACCACGACATCGAGAGAATTTGGTTCGATTTTCCAAGATGGAGATACTGAAAGGTTTCTATTATTTTTGTTATAGTAACAATAATTTCTTATGCTTAGCCAAAATTAATGGTCGCGCAATATAGTTTTTCATTTATGATTAATGTAATAAATTAATTACAAAGTTCAAAAAGTTGTGATTCTCTTTACTTATCATATATTTAAAAAGTTAAAAATGCATATGTAATTTATCATTAGATTTAATTCAGATGGTACTCGTATATGTAAATCAAGAAAATTTTGATTGGATTAATAATAATTTCTTAAAACTTATTAATTAAATATATTTTAAAATTTTTTTTATATTTACCTGGCACTTCTAATACAGCTGTGTGAAAAGTAGTTCCAAAATTGTTACTTACAAAGCAAGTGTAGTTTCCTACACTATTTTCATTAATAGAATGTATAGTAATTACTGACACATCGGAATGACTATGAATTTTTATATTCTTAGTTTCAAACATTTCTTCTCCATCTTTTATCCAATGAAACGTTAGCGGTTGTTGCCCGGAACTAACTGAACAGAGAATACTGACTTTATCTCCAATTTTGAGATCACGAGGAAGAGAGAATGGTCTGATTATAGGCATGTCACCATCTGAAAATGATAGAAACGTATTTTGGAATTCAATATTCTAGTATGGTTTTCAATTTATATATGCTATTTATTTTATCAATTTAGTAAAGCTATCATTTACTAAATTTTAGATTCAAGTACAGAAATGTTCATTTTAATTTCAAAATAATAATTCTTGTGTTAATAAATTGTTATATTAATTCAAAAATGTCTAACTTATTAAACACTTATGATGATGTATATAGCCTACTGATCTTAACAATGAAAACAAGTAGCAAATAGCAAAATCAGAATGCAGATTATATACATACAGTATAATGTAAATCCAGTTTCGTACAAGAAAATGTTATATTTTAATTAAGAATACTAAATAATAATAAAGCTATAATTAGTTTACCTTGTTTATCAGCAACTGAGATCATCATGGATAATAAAGATGTACAGCAGGCGATAATGTAATATATCATTTTTCTAATTAAATGTTGTTCTATAAGATTTATAATGAAAAACTACTAAATGAAGTCAAAAGCTATTCCGATAGGAATTACGCTGGATAAATCACAATAAAGTCAAAAATATTTCACACACTTCGCGAGCCTTCCCCACCTCTGCCCAGTAAATGCACTAATGGCAAGTTCATGTGCGTTTGCAGCGCCTCATGATGGAAATTTTTGAAAATAAATTCCAAATTAACGAGTATATTTTGAAGTATATTTCTAAAATAAAGTTATTAGCTTACTATGGTATTATACAAAATGATTTATATAGAATTCTATTGCGAAAGTATAAGTAGTTTCATAATAAATATTTAATTATTATTTACTATGGTTCTTTTTGGAAATTATAAATTCAAATTTATAGTTAAAGCCATAATAATATTTCTTAAATGCGCAATGTTTTTACAATGTAAATAAATTCTGTACAAAGTCAAATGTTTTTCGGCATTGTACTGTACCTACATGAAGTGTTGTATAATTAAAAATCTATGTATAGGGTATTTTATTACTTCTTAAGATAATAAATTAATACAGTACGTGTAAGCAAATTAACGACAATAGCTTTGAGGTAAGTGTAACTTAAGGTAACGTCATAAGTTACACTTACCTCAAAGAATAAATTTATATGCTGCTTGATATGCATTATCACACTTACCTTACTTTAATGTAACGTAAATAACTTTCTTAAATTATTTTCTGAATATGTAAGACATATTTTCTATAATTGAAGAAAAGTTAAAAAATTAATGAAAAAACAATATTCCATACTTTATTCAAGAAACTTAAGAGAAAAAGCTATAATAAATATTAATGTTTTTGATTAGAATTGTATTGCATTTGCACTTTTTATTACATACATCTTATATCTTTTCAACATAGCTACTATAATTTTTACGGTATCTTTATCGCTGTTCATAATTTCTTAGTCATTAGAAAATTTTTCAGTTACCACAAATTGATATTTTAACATTTTGTATTTTGCTTTTTTTTCCTGTGTAACCACACTATATAATTTGTTACAAAAACATTTTCAGGTAGAAAACACCGATCGTTTTCCGATATCACTGACGGGTAATATGATGATATCAATTGTTTATTCACTTTGCATATTTACAGGATCTGCGAGAAGTCAAATAAGACTTTGCTCCATTCTCCTTCGAAAGCTATAAAAACGTACAAATGAAATCGATGAACGAAATAAAACCAAATTTTATTACCACTTAATCAAAAGAAACTATAATTTATATCACCATCACATCATTTTTCAAAAGACAAAATATTTCAAACTTAGATCAAACGGCCTTGCTGTTTCCGTTCTGTCTGGGCCTACATATTCACAGACTAATTTTCTTTGTATAATGTAATAATAATATCATATAATTCGTATAATAATTCGATGCTATATTTTGGTTTTCTTCATAATTATACAATTCGATCGCAAAGTCCCTCCGAAGTGGTCACGCCCAAGTGGCTCGGCAGAGTGGTGAGATCATAGGGCGTATTCAAAATTTCAGCGCGCAGACAGCACCTCTGTTCAAAATCTCAGATAGCTTCTGGTTGCTGCCAGCGTGTTTCCAGCAAACTGAAAGCGTCTTTTTCGGTGCTCCATACACCGGCAAACAAAAGCCTCATGGTGGCTGCCATGAGGCTCGTAAGAGCTCTATTTTGCGTTGACAGTTTTGAATTTAATTTATTTATTGATGAATACACCTTCGATTAGTACATTAACAGAATATTTTAATATACTAGTATATTTACGTAATACATCACATAATTTTTTTAGTTGCTAATTAAAATGTAATCTTAGAATTTATTTATTTATTTAAAACTCCTAGGGAAATTTTAAAAATCTTTATCCCTATTTTTCTTTTCGAAATACAGTAGAACCTCCATTATCCGGATTTTCGATTATCCGGATTGTTCAAAATAAACAAAAATTTTACGAATTTGCTGATTTGCACTTGGCGAATTACGACACTGTTTATGTACGTGATGGA